GACTCAATACCCTCTCTCTTCTTCAATCTATCAAGCATAAATGGTTACTACTCAATTTTCTTCCACCGTTCTTCGCATTAAACGTATTCCCTGATCATTTAATTTCAATAGCATCTCTTATCTTTATCTTTTCAGCAGACATAATATAATCACCAAATCTATTCTATCTCTTGTTCAGCCAGCGTGCTCGACCACTTCTGACCGTTTGACCCAGCTTCCTTTATAAGCATTTTTGTGTTCTCCCAATCTTTTTCGAATAGGTCGGCATGTCTCACCAACATAAAATCGAGCACATGAGCAGCCGGATCTCGACAATGGGTCATATTTCTCTCTAAACGTTGGCATAACAGAAGAAAGTGTGAGGGTTTCTTTAAACACTCTCATATTTATTCGCGTCATTTTTAGAAAGAAGGCATGACGGCAAATTTATAGCATGAGAAAAGATTTTAGCCTGTCTTTTTTTGACTAAATGGTCTCCGCCTAAAAGTTTATTCCTCAATAGAGAGATATTATTCTCAATAAGGCCCAAAGGATAATTATTTTCCAGGAATAAATTTGTCAGATGATCCAACTCTTTAGTCAAATGTTTGCTATCCGCTAGCCTCATACCTCCAAGAATCATTGACTTTAAAATGCCAACCTTAGTCTTGTAATTATGGTTGGAAAGAAAATTAGGCAAAAAGCCAACATATGTTGGTTTCCTATAAACATCTCTTCCTAACTTACTTCCTTCTCCAATGATGAGAAAATCCAGCAAAGTTAAGGACTTATTCTCTTCCATTTCCATCGTGAACATAATGTTCCTTTCACTCTGCTTGAGTGAAAGTAGGAAACTCTCTAAACTGTCCTTTTCATTAGGCCAGCTGACAAAATAGTCATCCATGTATATAACCAACAATTTGGGGATTAGTATTGCCTCTTCCAGGAAGTGTTCCTCCAGTCTTGCTACATAATTGTTCGTCAAGATGGGAGCAAGGCAAGATCCCATCGCTAGTCCTTGTGTTTTTCGTAAAACGTACTATCGAAGGTAAAATATGTGGTACTCATGGATAGGCTAATAAGTCTAATAATGGAAGCTACACTCGGCCTTATTCCTTGTGTTATCTCTGGATACTCCGGCAGAGTTTGTCTTAAAGCTTGAATAGCTCCTTGCACAGGAATGTTTGTGTACATAAACACATCATCAAAACTTACTTGCCTATCCTCTTCTTAAAGTGTCTGGTGTTCAATAAATTTTACAAAATCATAAGAATTTTTTACTGAATATAGCCGAATATCTGCAGGTTTCCTTACTTGTATGCATAAAAAGGTGAGATTTTATGCATCAGTTTTCTTTTATTATTTTTAATTAATCTTAGAGAGACAGCCTCCTTGTCAACCTTAGGGAGACCGTAAGTTAAACAAATTCACTGAGTTTTGAATTATAGAGATAATTATAACTTAATGACAGCGCTGGTGCAAAACATTTATTCTCTGCCACTACTTTTTCTGTCTCCTTATTTTATATTAACGCTTCATATTCTTAAATAACATACAACTTTAATCAAGTCCAGAAGTTCATGCGCCGGCGCAAGTATTTGCTCCATTGCGCGTTTCATTCGGCCACTCTAATCGGCGAGACCGATGGTCCAGTCGAGTTCGAGGTTAGCATTGGTAACTATGGCAATAAGCTGGACGGGTCAGTAAAGCCCTCTTCATCAACAACCCAGCCGACGAATGCTGTATACGATGGCACATACTATCACTTTCTGCCGTGGAGTGAGTCGAAGCCATGCACTGTTGTGGAATCGCACTGGGAAGACATCTCTTATCGTCTGGGCGCGGTCAACATGCTGTTGAAGATGGCAGACAGGCTGGTACGTAGAAAAGTCTGAGAGCATAAAACTAATAAAAAGCATATTTAGGCTTCGAGAAATCGCTCGGTTTACGATTGTTTAGTTCAAGTTGGAACGTGTACATAACGAGCTATAAAGCTCAAACTCACCATAAGATAATAGCTGGGCTCTCCTTTTCAATTGTCGTTTGGCTTTGCTGAAAAACTCTGGGCGTTTATGTTCCTAATCCCCTTCACTTACGGTGATCGTATCCTAAGCGTAGGAGAAATCATCATTTCAGGGAATAATTATTATAAATATTTTAAGCAAACGAGTATGGCAAACCTACTGGCTGATTTCTAAATTTGATATATAGATTTAAGACATATACATCATATAAGAAATAAACAGATTTGGCTTTTACGATTTTTGATACTAATTTAATTTAATTGGTGTCCACGCTAATTTTTTTGCAATCACTGATATTTTAAATAACCACATTTATAAAAAATTACAGCGCTAGCTTATATAAACTTAGCGGATTAGGTAATAACATTGATTGAAATCTCCTGGATATTCCTATTCGCTCTTACGGTAAATTAATCCACTCCTAACGAGTACTACCTCATTGAGACGTAAATTTCATATGCGAAATATATTTACTCAATTTCGTTGGGGTTTTGAAGGACTGGATGCTGACATTTCCTACAATCTTTTGGATAGACCTTAAGTTTCATTTAATTTCGCATAGCCTTGCTTCCCAAAAGGTATTCGCATCCTTTTGTGAAGCGAGGCAAGGTCTACTACTATATCACCGTAACCGAAATACGGTAAACACATAGCATATAGATGATTTATTGGTAGTCTCAAGATTCTGCATACAAACGAAAGATAAGTGAATTTTATCTACTACAGAGAGGTCAATGTTACAAATTTGCATAAGTTTATTGGGCCGTGGATTTTTCCTCAAGCTTTGAGTGATGCATTGTGGAAGAAACACTATACAACTATTAAAGAATATCCTTAAATTAGCCGAAGATATGAAGACCAAGATGGTGTAGCCTCTGGTATGGTAGCTTGGTGCGGAGAATGGTAAAACTCACCGATGATGCCGGCGAAACGCTTGAAAAGCTACCAAGTCCATGGCATGATGCTGGGAATTATGACGACTACTATGACAGACAACTTCGGACTAGGTGCGTTCTACTGAGTCGCCCTAACAACAAGACCAAGTTGCGACAATGAGGTCAACCCACTTCTTAAATTAGCCAGTTTATACATTTTTTGTTGAGTTTTCTTTCATCTCGAGTGAAAGATCTCGGTAAAGACATTCCAAGGTCGATCCGAAAATAAGAAGATGGGGGATTTCGCTTGACCAGCTATCAATTGGTTTTACTGAAAC